GATTTTGTTATTCTCCTTATTTACATCCATTAACCATTCCTGCGATCTTTTTTTCCCTTTTTCCAGTGTTAAGGTCTTCTTGAGAATCAAATGTGTCGGCGAGTTTATGTCCTATTGACATAAACTGCCATATTCCCATTGAAAAACTCGTGATTCACCCACTCGTGATGGTTTGGTCAGCCATTCCTTTTATTCCCTCCCATGGGAGAATGCTAACCAAGTCCCGCTTCTTGCTTTCCGTATGTACGATACTGTCTCACAATTCGTTTCAATCACGCCTTTATTGTTTTCTTAAATAAATGTCTGATGGATGGTTTGTGGTTTTATGAACGGGATGTAGTTTTTTGACTGAGCCTTAGGAGGGTAAAAGCATTGGGTGGTTGAGATGATTACCTATGTGGGGAGCTAGGAACTCGCCCATTCCGGTGCTCCTATCCTCCTAAGCCTTCGATAAAAAATTGCATGAAAAACAAAAATTGCACACCGTGATTACTGTTATACTAACTCTGGTATGTTTGAGTCCCCTTCCTCCTCTCCCTCCTTTCCACCACCACCCCTGAGTGGTTGGGAGTATTTGGGCCATATTACCTTCGATTTTCTTTCGTGGATTTATTATTTTCCGTATCCGCCTATGCGTATTGACAATCGTTCTCCTTTCCAGCTTGCTTTCATTAGCTAGTGGTCTCATCTTTTCTATTGACTTTTATTTTTTCAAATTATACTTGTTTGAAAAGGAGCCCTCTTGATAGGTCGTTCTTTAAACTTGACCGCATTGATAGGGAGGGGAAGGAAGCGTTCAATCTGTTTAATCTCAACAGTCATCAGTTTGTGATGCCGTCAAGTTTTCGGAACGGCATAATTGGTTATAAATAGGAGACCCGCTGCTGCTATTTGACTTGGGTTGATCGAAGTTCTTCAAAACAAGAAGTTCATTCTGCTTATAAATAGTACCCTCCCTGGGTGGCCTCAGTTTTTCATCTCAATGCGCTTCTGTTAACGATTGCTGTCATTGCAATGGCATTTCGCATTTGAATTTTTCATCTCACCTGTATCACCTGTCTTCCCAATGTTCATTGCTTGTCTCAGATGACATCCAGTAACGCCTCCATTCGTCTCCGCCGCAAATCAAAGAAGTTCACTGAATGGTCCTCGCTCTAGGGACACTGGGCAAGACATTTATTTCGTGCAGAGCTTTCCCGAAGAAGTCTCAAATTTTCGCTGTAAAAATCTTACATAATATAAATTCAAGTTTTTAACGTCGAACGATTTGTAAGATTAATCACAGTGTTATTCAACGTGAAATAATTTCGTGATTTGCCCATGAATGAGTAGATAGATGCACGTGGGGCAGGGGTAAGTGGGGCCACTACCACAATTACATGTGACCCTTCTTTGCTGGGTAAAGAATAAAGGTGGTGGGTAAAGGTTCCCACGCGAGGTTCCCACGCGAGGTTTTTTGGATCAGTGGGATTGTTGAAACTTGCCGACTATGGTAAAAAAGACGCATCATCCTATCCGTCAAGTCTTTTGACGAGCTTGATTAGTGCTCCTGCAACGATGCCTGTCCTTTACTTATTTATGTGCTCAAATTGTTTATTTATTAGTTTATTCTAGTTTTTATTTGAGATTAATTTCCCAAGCAGACATAGTGACTCCTTTTAGTAGTCGGTTTTTGTTTATATCAGATCTACTTGGAAGGGTAAGAAATCCGACGTTGGCTGGGCTGAACCCGAATGTTTGTAGATACCTCGAACGCATTCAGTTTGACCGATGTTCCCAAAAGAAAAAGTAGTGTGCGGCGAATTTCGATAAAGTTTTGATCTTCGGGACCCCTTCTACATGCATGGCAAGAATACCTTTCAAAAAGCTAATTCGCCGGTCAGAATAGGTTACTGAAAAGATATCTTGCAAACTGCCAATCCCCCAGGAAACCCGTGAAGTTGAGGGGATAGAAGAGAGTTGCGAGAGGATGATAAATATCACTCTGGACAGTCATATTTAACGTCGGAAAAAATTATGTTCAAATATGGAAAGCACATCAAAGCCCATAATATCCGCTTGGGTATAATTGTAAAGATTGAAGAGAAATTGGATGGTGTTCATAAATCTCTCTAGGGGCTTGATTCATGATGCCACTCGCCAATGAACTGACGAGCCGATTCCCAACAGATGGATGCTAGCGGCTGAAGACGCGCTTATAACCTTTGGCAAAAAAGCTTTTCATTTTCACAGAATATGATCGGAGGGAATCGGCCCATTTGAGAGAAAGGTGTGGAGCGCTGAATGGATATCGAGGGACCATCAGAAGAACATCATTCACTGTTTATTCGCTGCTTTGCCGCGCTCTCAATCAACGCCTTAACCGCAGTGCTAATGAAACAGTTATAATTGCCACTCCTTCCACCATGTAATTTTAAATTAAATTAAATTATATTATATTATATTATATTATATTATATTATATTATATTATATTATATTATATTA